GGAATAACTCATTTTAGAAATGGACATTTCTAACTTAATTGTCATGAATTACCAGGAATCAGAATCTGCAGCGAAGAATATCAGGCTTTCCCACCCCCCCGGTATAAAGCAGGACCTAAATCAGTGGGCTGTAGCTACAGCCACTTTGTAAGCACTGAGAACTTCCTTCACACTGCATGCTTGGCCCATGTTCAGTGGCATTAGATCTGTTCATTTATATACCTGGCCAGGTTCTGCCCTGTCTGTGAGGGAGGTGAAAGCAAGCTTCACTCTTATGAACTCCTGGTGGATGGACAGGTCCAGATGCAAAGGAAAGCTGCCCAACCCCTTGCACAGACCAGTGCCCAGATCTATGCAGGGGGCAGGAGGCAGATGGGCCTGGGCTTGAGCCTTCCCAGAGGCCCATTTCCAGCTATGGGAGAATGCTGGCACTCCCTGGTGGGATCATGTTTTTTTTTTTCCCAGGGCTGGACCCCTCTGAGACTGATTCAGCCTGAGGGGATGCTCCCCCTTGCACAGACATGGGATGACCTGGGTCTTATCAGTGGCTAGGGGCCATTGGCACCAACAGCAGGGTTCCCACAAAGCTCTTTGAGAGTTTGCCCTTTAGAGCCATCCAGAGCAATTATTTATGTACTCTTTTAAGATATCTAACAGTACTGCATAGGCTGCAGCCCTGTTCTGCTTCTCAAGCATAAATCATTCTATTAAACTAATTGTTGTTACTTTGTTTTTATACATGAATATTCCTAGCCTATCCCTGCCCTGTCAGTGTTGCAGAATGCACCACGTGATATCAGTTCTGCAAGCCCAGTGAACAGAACAAGGAGTGCTATCAGTGGATTTGTGCCAGGGATTGAAGAGCGGCATAGTTTGAAGTGGAATGGAAATATGATCCCCTGCTACAACATGGAACATAAGAAGTTTGAAAAGCTCAAAGGAGCAGACTTCAAGTAAGGCACTTAATTAGTTAACAGGCATAGAATTGACATAATATCTTATAGTTATCCTAAATGATCCTAAGTCACTTTACTCTTTAGTACTTCCCATGTAAGTAGTATAATATCCAGCTACTGACACACAGCACAGTAACTTTTATAGTGCACAGCAACACAAACTGTTCTGTAATATTTATTATGCTGCGAAAATGGGAAATTCAGCAGGCCCAAAGTACACTGAACTGTTGGTGACATTAGGAATGTGTCCTGAAGCTCTCCTGATATGAAAATTTTCACTTTTATCAAGAGTACCTAGGTTCAGTGCCAAGTACTCAGCTTAATTTAGTGGATGGAATGCCTGAGAAAGTATTAATATCGATGCAAGCTCTTTTGAAATTTGCTAAAATGAACAGGGAAGAAATACAATTTAAGCTGATTAGCTAATATATTTTGGTTTACCAAAATTTAACAGAGGTTTTTAATAATTAATAGAAGTTAATGGACTCCTATAATTTATGACTATAAGGGCTGTGCAAAATTTCGACGGATGTTTCGTTTCAAAGGTGTTTCAATGTGTTTTGAGCTCAAAATACCAAAATCGAAATGAAACACAAGGCTTTGAAACAGCTTTGAAACAAAACAAGGGCACTCAAAACGTTTCAAGAATTTTGAAGTTTCAAGTTTTGAAGCCAGGCTTGAAGGGAAATAGAAACTCAGGAGCGGGAGGAGGAGAGGGGGGAAGGACTGCTCTGATATTGACTGTGTAGTTGGCCAGTGACTGATCCTTCCCTGAGGTCCCTTCCAATCCCTGTGCTCTGGGGGAGGGACGGAGAAGGAGCATAACAGCATTGTTTGAAATGAGCTGTCAGCTGTGCCTTTGTCACCTTACTGAGCTGTGTCCTCCAGCAGCATCAGAAAGGCTCTCACGTTTTACTTGCTAGTCTGTTTCTAGCAAGTGGGATCCAATCCTTTCCGAAACACCCTAGTACCTTTTCCTAATCCATCCCTTTCAATGTATTCCTCCCCCAAAACTCTCTTTTTGTTTTTGTTATTCTCTGTAGTTCTTTCTCCACATAAAAGAAATCTGTGTTTTCCCTGACAGTCTGCATTGTCTGGGCAGGAAAGCACAACATATATTACAGAACATATATTTATATATTAAATAAATACATACATTACGTTACAGAAACACACACAGATTTTCCAGCACACCAAACATGAAGCGTGCTGGAAAGGCAGGTGGCCACTCTTTTGGCCAGGGCGGACAAGGGGGCAGAGGGAGAGCTCTAAGTCCCCACCCCCACCAAAACTTAGATGAAACCTCTTTCCAACAACTAGCAGCCATGCTGCTTCTCCTGCTAGTGGCACCAAGGAGATGGGAGCAGTGTCTGCATCCCCTCCAATAACACCTGCCATAATAACAACAACCCCGAGCACCACCACCATGACAACAAGAAGCAGCACCAGCATTACAGTTTTCTCCACCACAATTTCAATTCCCAGGCTGAGCCCTCCAGTGCCAGAGGAAGAGCTGGATCTGGATCTGATTGCCATAGCAAGGGAAATTGTGGGGAAGAAGGGGGAATCATCTGAGTTTGTGCTCCACACCCATCAAGTTTCCTCTAGAGGCAGGGAGCACTCCCCACTAGAGGCAGGTCTCCTTCCCCAGAAGGCACTTCGGAGGAGGTTGAGGTTGTGGAGGCAAGTGGCTCAAGTGAGTCTGCTCCTCCTGTTGCTGTGCCTCCACCTGCTGAGGAGGGGGGGAAAGGCAACATCCACACACACATCCGCACCCCAGAAACAAGTGGGTAGTGTGATCTGGGATCATTTTGAGCTGGCAAATGATCCTACATATGCTACCTGCCTGCACTGCCAAGCCAAAACCAGCTGTGGCAAGGGAGCGAAATGCATGAGCACCACGGGAATGCTGATGCATCTCTACAGGCACCACCCCGTTGCCCTTTTTCCTCATCAGCCTGGCACCACTGGCAATGTGCCCAAAAAGAAGCCCCCCTCTTGCTTGAAAGCCCCCGTTCCCCCAAAGCAGAGGCAGACCACCCTTGAACTGTGGGGGAAAGGCAGGCACACAGGGGTGGGATGCATTACCACGGCAAGCAAGGCCACCCAGAGCATTGGGGAGATGCTTGCTCTGGATGGCCAGCCCTTCTCCTTTGTTAAGCATCCAGGGTTCAGGCAACTCATTCAACTCATGGCCCCATCCTACCAACTGCCGGCACACAGCACCCTTAGCAGGACAGTGGTGCCCTCTCTGTATGAGGCATGCAGAAAGTACTTGAGGGAGGAGCTGTGCAAGGCAGCTCCGCAGGTAGCCTTACACTTCACCTCAGACATCCAGAGCTGGGGTGATCATCCAGCAGCTGGGGTGATCACGCCTACCTCTCCCTTATAGGGCACTGGTGCGACCATCAGTGGGCTCTCCTTCAAGCCGTGATGGATGAATCCCACATGGCAACAGAGATCATGGGGGCCATGAACCACATGCTGCAGGGGTGGCTCATTGGGCAAGGTGAACTGCCATGGGAGGAAGGGGAATGTAGCAGGTAGAAGTGGAAAGGTACCTGGGGAGTTAGATGTCCGGCAGGTTGTGGTGTGTCATAATTCCAATACCTATATTGAGTCCATGAGTTTCTGTATACAGGAGGTTGAAGTGAAGTCATAGGCTTATCTGTGAAAAGTGGTTTGTAAATTCCCTTTGAGTATTGGGGCTCAGGTAGAGACAGGCAGTTGGGTGTTCGTGTCTTAGGAGATACCAAGTAACAACTGTGCACTAGAGTGAGCGCACACTGAAAATCTATCAATGTATTTTTCATCAGGGCATCCGGTGCCCTGATGGAGACATGTATTGTATTGTGATGATATCTCCATACTGGAGATATTGTTGGCAGGTTTTGCATGTCTTGTCATGGCATGATCTGGATCCATTGTGTGTGCTTTGGGCTGTAGGAAATTGACTTCTGGTGATGAGGTTAGTGAGGTTCAGTGCTTGTTTGAATTTACATACCACTTTTCAAAGACAAGCCTATGAACTGTACTTCATCAACCTCCTAGGTACAGAAACTCATGGACTCAATATAGACATTGGAATTATGACACACTACAACGTGCTGTACCTCTCCACTTTTACCTGCTACATCCCCCTCCCCCCACTACCCCAGCCTCTCTCTCACCCCCTGATACCTCCATTTCCATTTTCACTGACTTGCTTTCTTGCCTGCATTGCATTCCAGCCTCTGAATTCTTTACTATTCTTTCCATCCAGAAAGAGCACACACACCAACTGCAGGTGCTTTCTCAGTCTGAGGAAGGGTTTTCAATCTGAAAGCTTGGTAAGATATATTTCTCCAACTATTCAGTTGGCCTACAAAAAGATATGAGATTGACCCAAAGAACCTTGTCTGCCATGTCCTTAGACCAACATGGCTACAACCTACATCCCTAGCACCTGTCCCCGGTCAGCCAACTGGAAGGAGGCAGGGCCCTGGGCACACCTAAGCCCCAAGGCTAGGGCTGGCAGGGAGAGTTCTCTGGAAGCTGCTGGAGAAGCAGCTCCTGCAGGAAATGAAAGAAAGGCTCTGTGACATTTTGGCTGCCTGAGATGCTAGTGCTACTGTGCTGCTTACCTGTTTTTATTTAAAGTGGTGGACCGGACTGAGGCTGTAGGGGAGGAGGAGACCTCATTGGGGTACACTACTGTGTTGTGTAGAGGCCCCAGTGCCAGTGAAGGTGCAGCGACGGGCATAGAGAGCCCAGCGACAATAGAAGGTAGAGCGAGACTGAGACCTTGTTACAGGGTTGATATTGATATACTATTTGCAAGGCACGGGGCATGGTAAGGGATGGTTGGAGCCACGCATCTAGCCCATAAGGCTTAGGGTGTCCCCTTGAGGCACCTACTTAGGGTGGGTCCCAGCAAGGGGGTCCAAGAACCTACAGGGTTTAGTGGGGTCCATTAGGACCATGACTAAGCTGAAGCTCGAGGGCAGCCTCCCTATTACCTTTTCCAACAAGACATGGTGGCAGGTGAAAAGGGAAGACGCCCACAGGGCAGAGCTGGCACAGTCACAGGGCCCTAGGGGGTATCATGACCATCTCTAGGGATGCTACTCCACAACAGGTGAAGTGTTTTCAGGGAAACTGCACTTTATCTCCTTGAAAGCTGGCAGGCTTCATGGCCTCAGAAGGGGTTAGCATCCCTGATGTTTTCATCCTGCTCTCCATTAACACACACACACAGTCACAAATGTCATGAGTTTTGCTCTGAACAGTTTGAGGTGTGGTTTCCCAGAAACCCCTGCACCTATCACCTTGAAAGGTAGCAGGCTTAATGGTCTCACCAGGGACTACCATGCCTGTTGTTTTCATCCCCCTGTGCCTTCACACTCACACATCATGAGTTTTGCTTTGAACACTTTGAGGTACTGTTTCCCAGAAACCGCTATACCATGACAGATTTTATGGCCTCAGAAGGGGCTATGATCTCTGCTGTTTTCATCCAAATTAGGCAAGAAATTACAAAGTTATAGGTATTTTCCTGATTCCCCATTATAGTCTATGGGCGAAACGCCGAAATGTGTTGAAACAGCATTGAAACAGTGAAACAGTTTAGGCAAAATGAAATGGAACAGTGCTTTGAAACAGTGAAATGAAACACTGTCCTTTCAAAACGGTAATCTAAAATCAAACAAAACATTGCCATTTTGCACAGCCCTAATGACTATATGTGCAAGAAATCAATGTTCTATTCCAACTTTATCTTTGCTTAGTTGCTATGTGACCTCAGCCCTTTGAGTATATTTATTCCAGGGCTGGGCAATTATTTTGCCTGGAGGGCCACTTAATGATTTTTGGTGAGCTGTAGAGAGCTGCAAGGGTAGCTCGGCCCCTTGGCAGGCGCCGCACCCCCTGATTGCAATCTTGGGACCAGAAGTCCCATCCCTAACCCCTGACTTTTGCCACCGGAAGTCACTTCGCCCTCCACCTGCTTTGTCCCGGATGTATTCTTTTGGGGGGGGGGGTGCCATCTTGGAACCAGAAAAAAAACAAACCAAATCATATACTAAAAATCAAACATCTACTAAAACATATTTTAATTTTATTTAGAAAAAAAGTTTTTCCTGATTTACATGTGTTTGCACAGTGTATATAGAGGTGATTGCATAATAGCTCAAAAATAAAGTTTTATTCTTGTATACTGTGTGGGTGGGGCTTGTGAAGGGGTGCAGGGGGGTTTGGTGCATCTTGTGAGGGGGGGTGGGGGGGTATAGGATTTGTGGGATGATCTGTGGTGGAATGGGCATGGGGTTTGTGGGGGAGCAGTTGGGGGGTTGCGTGGGTCACTGTGGGCCCCACACCACATGCCCCCCCCCATGGTGCACAGCTCCTGCTGCCAGCAGCAGCAGCAGAAGGCAGCAGGCCCTCAGGGTGCACCTGGGCCAGCTCCCTGGTGGTGCACAGCTCTGGCCAAATCCTGGGAGCTGCATATGGTAGCACAGAGCTGATCCGACCCAGCGAGCTGGTGCATGCCTTCAAGCCCAACCTGCTGTTACTGCTGGTGCCAGGGGCTGTGTGCTGTGGCGGGGGCCACACCCACCCACCTCCCCCACCAGCTATCCAGTTGCGTGGCATCATACTCAGTGCCTCTGCATGGGGCTCCCAGACAGAGTGCCGGGAGCCCAACAGGTAGAAGCACAGAGCCCGACAGTCCAATGGCGTGCAACCGCTGAAAGCCCACCTCCCACTTGTTTTCAAAGAGGCAGCTGTAGGCTGGTAATAATTGTTTCTGGAGGGTTCTTGTGGACCAGAGACAATGGCCTGGTGGGGTGGATCTGGCCCATGGGCTGTATTTTGCCCACCCCTGATTATTCAGTAGAAGGATAGGAGTAATTCACCAGTCCTTCATGATATTTTTTACAAATAAACCAGAAGCTGTGAGACACACTGAAGTATATTCTACAGTGCCAGGTTTTTTGTGTTTTGTTTTGTTTAAGTGCATATTTCTTCCAACCTGTATTAGAGCAGGAAGCAATAGCTGCTAAAGGTAAATGCCCATGTAACCTAGAATACAAAGCTAAAAAATGAACAGAAAAACAGCTTGAATAATACCTGTTACTTTCATTCCAGTGACAGAGACGCAATCTATGTGATCAAATCTCATTATAAATATAAGGTTTTAGTACTGCGTGCGACTTCAGTTGCTTGCACCTAGTTTTCAGTATTAGCTACAATTACTGCCATAAAACCTTCAGATAGTGCAAGACTCTACTGTGTAGCTTGCTTGCCTAAAACTACATTGTTATACTTGGGAGAGCTGGGGGGTCTCAACTTCCAGGCCTACACACAAAACGTGGCCTGCGGAGACATTGGATCTGGCCTGCGGTGCTCCCTACAGGCTGAGCAATTTGGTGGCAAGAGAGCAGTGGCCATTAGTATGCCCACCCTCCCCCTGCCAAATTCCCAAACCCCATGCCCTGCATACCTAGTCATAGCCAGGCTGTGCCCCTGCTTCTCCCTGTGAGGCTGGGCCATGCTCCACCCTTTTCCCCATGGGGCTGGTTTGGGACTGGGCCATGCCACCTTTTTTCCCATGGGGCCAGACCAGGCCCGCTGTCCCCCATGGGCCTGGGTCAAGCCCCCTTTCCATCCCACCACCCTCGTGCAGGGCTAGGCTGTGGCCAAGACATGCCTCTTACCTCCCTTCCCCACCCTGAGGCTGAGCCATGTCTCTATGACCCCGCCTGGTTATGTACCTCCTTCTCCCCAGGTCCCACCCCCTTACCAGGTCCAAGTGAAGCCCCCCTTCTCCCCCACTGTGGGGCCAGGCTCAGGCTGGTATACCCTCTACCCCCTCTCCTGGTGACCAGATGGTAGCCACCATACCGGCCCCAGTTGCTGGATCTGAATTACTATGGGACCCACGGTTAGACCAGGCACTGCCCCTCTGGCCTGCCAGAGGAAAAGGTTCAGCACCACTGGTTTACATGATTTGTTGTATAACTTGAGAGCAACTGTGTAATTAAAAAGAACTATTGTATCAGTTCTCATGGCATAGACTAGGCAACAAGACCTATGCATTTGAATGCACTACTATTTACATTAAAATTAACAAATCCCTTTTTATTACACACACACACACATACACACACGTTTGAGTACACTAAACAAGTGTTTTTCTTCAGGTTGCACTGTTATGCACATTCGTTTCTTTACAAAAGACTAGTGAAGGAAGGAAGGGATAGAACTAACCTTGTGCTACATCAAGACACCTCAACGGACGAGGCCACAGCTCCAGTGACTACACAGGATTCAGGTAACTAAGGAGACTCAAATACAATGGACAAAAGGGAATTGACTGCATCAAGCTGCAGATGCAGTCTGAGCTAAGTAATGAATGGAACAGTAGCCTCTGAAACCCTCTATATGTAAATGAAAACAGCCTGTCAAAAGGAAGAGAGGCAGAGTAGATTTGCACCTTATAGATTAAAGGAGTGGAGCAGGGCTGTAAAAAGAGCAGAGATGGAGCGTCCCACGGGAGCATGGGCAACCATGCACTTGGTGGCAAGCCCAAAAATGGAGTGGAACTACTTCCAGACCACTTCTGGGTCTGCCAAGCGCACTGAGGGACCCCCACCCTGCACCTCTCCCCCCTGGCTTGGCGATCGGCTCGGTGGGGGGGGGGGGGGGGGAAGGCCACACCTCCCCG